CCCCACTCCCGCCTCCTGGTCTTGCACAGCTGTCCTGCCACCTGGGGCACCCCCTCCCCCCTTCTTCTCCTGTTACTCACTCTCAGCTCCCCCTCGGCTCCTCATTAGGGGAGCCCTCCCTGACCCTCTGCTCAAGCTCTCTGCGCTCCTGGGACTGAGGTCTTCCTGCACCTGTTCTCTCATCTGTCCTTCTAGACAGTGAGTGTGTATCCAGGGCTGCTCCCAGCCAACTTCCCGTGCCCCTGAGCCCCCAGCCAGGGTCAGGCATAAAGTGGGTACGCCACGGGAACCCACTAAAGAAAGAAATGAACCAGTGAGTGGATGCATGCTTCCACACTGAGTGAGAGTACCCAGGATGAACGCAGATGAAAAAGCAGAGGGTAAAAGGGGAGGAGGCAGAGGGAGGTAGGGAGAGGCCCAAAGGGGGACGGAAAGATGGGCAGGCACATCTGGAATAATCAAGATGGAGGCCTGGGGGTGGGGGAACACACACACACACAGAGGCACACGCACACACAGAGGCATGTGCACACACACAGAGGCCCAAGCACACTCAAACACATGTACACATGCACATGCACATGGCCAGGCAGGAGCAGCTGCTCCACCATGAGTGTTTCAACAAGTCTGAAGAGCTGAGGGACTGATGGAAGCATGGACACCCCCTCCTCATCCCAGCACGGGCCCTGGGAGCACAGCCCACACTGGAGAGGCAGCCAGCCTGCAGATCTGGGAGCGCAGGCCTAGGGGACAATGAGGAGCCAGACCCCTGTTCCCCAGCAGATACGCAGGCTTCTGCTTCCCTCACGAAAACCAGAGCAAAGCAAATGCACAGAGGCCCAGAGGGAGGGAGGCCAAACCACCGGTGGGCGAGGCAGAGGGAGCCGTCCTGCCTCCCTTCCCACGTGGGCCAGATCGGGGTGCAGCAGCAAGACTCGCCCAGTTCCCTCAAGTTCTTGTTCTGGACAACCCTGCAAATTCCCGGGGCCAGGGAAGCTCCCAGAGGCAGCCCTTCGCCTCGAGGTGTGTCTTACAGGAGGAATAGGAGTTTGCCAAGTTGCAGAGAGGAAAGGAAGGGCATTCCCAGCGGTGGAAACAGCCTGAATGAACAAAGGCATGGAGGCGAGAAGGCCCGGGGAAGAATCTGAAGCATCGAGATATGGATAAGGAAGGAAATCTGAAAGAGAGGGAGAGAAGGTAGAGAAAGAACAGCAAGGCACAGGGAAAAGAAAAACGAACCACAGCCAGAAACAGAGAGAGAGAGAGACATAAAAATATTTGTTAATACCTTAATCAATAAAAACAAAGAAACAACAACAAAAATGGAAAAGCTGAGGCAATTCTCCAATGTATGTTTGCATCTCTCTGAGATTAGACCAAAATAATGAAAGAGCTGGGATTTCCAGCTGCTTAAGCATTTGCCTCAAATTATTTGGCCTTGAATTCCCCAAAGAAATAAAAATGCTTTTCAAATCTAAAAAAAAAAAAAAAAAAAAAAAAAAAGACAGCAAATGGGAAGCACACAGAGGCGCACAGAGAAAGACCAAGAACTGGGGAGAAGGGAGGTGAAGAGGGGGGAATAGAAAGGAACAAAGACTTGTCAAGAACGAGAGCCAGAGCCACACTCACAGACGGCAGGAGAAACTGCAGAGGCGCAGAGACGGGGAAAAGGCAAACAGAGAAAAAGCAAGGCCACAAGAGGGAGGGGTTTGGGGCCTCCCGGAGGAGTGAGTCAGTGTGTGTGGGGGGGGGGGGGGGGAGGGGGCGCCGGGGAATGTGCAGGCAGTTCTCTGTCCCCACGGGGCAGCTGCACTGACCACGCTGCTCCATGCTCGTCCACAGCCCTGGAGCCCACAGGCTCAAGCTGGACGGAACTGGGATTGTGTCCACACAATACGCACACATCTGTGCACACGCAGCCGGAAAAAAACAGACCTACTCACTTCATACCCCATTAATACCCAGATGCACACACCCCAGGAGCCCACAGGCTAGCGCACTACCTGGACACCTGTGTGTATAGAGACACAGAGCCATGGGCAAACAGTCACCCCCCCCCCAAATCACACACCCATGAACACAAAGGCACACACATCCTAGGGCACACACACCCCAGGAATAATCAGAAGACCCGGGCCACAAACACAGCCACGCTCCTCGGGGTTCCTATTCATGCTCTCACGAGCACACCCCGGAGTCTCTCCAGCTTGTGAAAATGACACTGAACAAAGTAACACCCCCATTTGACAGAAATGTTATTACCACCAGAGGTGACGCGTGGATGTGCGTGTGACCTGATGTAAAATCCACTTCTTCGTACACTCTGTTGCAAATGAACTTCCCAGGTTGGGTCCATAGGTGGCAGGAGAGAAGGGAGGAGAGGAAGAGTCTGGAATTTTTCTCAAGTGCCCAGGACTTCAATGCAGCCCCACCTCCCACCCAGCCCACGTTCCCGGAAATGCAAATAAAAAAAAAAACACCCTTACATGCTGAAACCAGTTTGGTTCAGTGGATAGAGCGTCGGTCTGCGGACTGAAGGGTCCCAGGTTCGATGCCAGTCAAGGGCATGTACCTTGGTTGCAGGCACATCCCCAGTGGGGGGTATGCAGGAGGCAGCTGATCGATATTTCTAACTCTCTATCCCTCTCTCTTCCTCTTTGTAAAAAATGTATTTTTTAAAAAAACAAAAACAAACAAACACCCGCACAGCCACCTCCCCACAAGCACGTCCACAGCTCCACACAGACCTGACAGCCCCAGCCGCCGGGCCTCGGAGTTTGGACACTGTGCCCATCTTGGGGTTGATCTGAGCATCTCAGACACAAGCCAGGCCTCTGCTCACACCCCAAATGCAGGTCCCGGTGTGCATTCATGGCCATGTGCCATGGTAACGGTGGACCCCCATCTGACCGTGCACACACCCAGGCCCCGCTGATGGCAGTCCGACCTCACCTCCCACCCAGTCATCACCCTCCGGCACACAGCAGAGGCTCAATAAACCACCGGCTGAACTCTGAGGTCTGTTTGTGTTTAATCAGACAATATACAAAGTATTTACAACCAATTCTGGATCCCCCCACCGCCCCCCGAAACCTGGGCCATGGAATGCGGACCCCCAGGCCCTGCCCAGAACCGGAGGTCCCCTAGGCCTCTGCACAGTCATCTGAAATCTACAAAACACTGTTGGTTTGTCTTTAAAAAAGGACAGCATTAGGACACCTTACACAAAGGGCCTCGGGCAGTTGGAAGGGGATGTGAGAGCACGCTCGTGTACTGGGACAGACAGGGGAAGACTAGGGAGATAGACATGTACGAGAGGAAAAGTTGAAATTTCATAGGCAGGCACCTCTTGGCCTCCTTCCCCGCTGGCAGGGCCTGGCTGGCTCAAGAACCCCTGGCAGCAGGAATGTTATTGCTATGGGGGGGGAGGGGGGGTTTCGGGTGAAATGTACAATGTGTCTGGGCGACAGAGTAAGGGGTATTTTTACATGTTAAATATGGACACACATGGAGGAACGCACATGTACACGTGCACACACACACACACACACACAGGCCCTTATCAAGATGCCCACAAACTGTCAGCTCCCCTTTTCGGAGAAGCCACCACAAACCCTAAGACTGAACAACGGAGCAAGGGCCAAAACGGCCCGCGGACGCCTGGACTGTGCTCACTGTGTGACGCCAGGTCACAGGGTCTGGACGGGCAAGAGGAGCCACCGCACAGGCCGTGGCCTCATAAGGAGGCAGAGGCTGCAGCCCACAGACGTCAGGTCCTCCCAGGGTCTCACAGCCAGTCCGGATACGTGACAGTGGAGCCCTCCTCCCCCCGCACCCCCTCCTGGGCACTCCTTTCCCTCCTCACGAGTTTAGGGCGCCAACTTGGGGAGGAGAGCAGAGGCCAGGCTTGGAAAGGGCACAGGGCAAACTGGGCAGACAACCTGCGGCTCCCTCCGAAGGCCAGGGCAAGTTTCCCAACCACCTGGATCGTCCAGGTCTGCTTGATTGCCCCCAGAGCCTGGGAGCTCCCTCCCTTCCGTGGCTGGCTAAGCCTGAAGGTCAAAACCCACCCACATTCAGATGGAAGTCTGCCTCCCTACGCCTGCACCTTCACCCTCCCATTCCCAGCTCAGCCCCACACCCACCTCCTCCACTCTCTCCCCTGAGCTGAGCGGGAAATGGCAACGGAACTCTGCTATTCTAGCCCACCCTCAGGCCCCTTGTCCCTGGGGCTGCCAGTCTGTCCACGATGCCGCTGAGGACAATCTTGTTGGTTCCTGAGGAAGACGGAGGGAGCACCGGGTTCTGATCCCACCTCAACTCTGAACTGCTCCGAGGACGTGGCTAAGTCACAGCCTCTCTCTGGACTGCTGCCCCGTGGGTAATGAGGGACAAGGAGCTGACGATCTCTAAGGGATCCTCGGGTCTAAGAAGGGGAGCCCACCCCACCCGCCATGATCACGTCAGTCTGGGCTCCAGGCGGCCCTGCCCGGGAGCCATGGCAGAGGGTCTGGACCCAGCGGCCCCGTGGGCAGGTGCTTCAGAAACGGACGGCAAGGGGCAGGGCACCAGGCAGGCTGACGGCCAGGGGCCCATCGCTTTTCTTTGGAAAGGCTCTTTGGCCAGCTCTGGAGACAGCCCTGGAGAGGGGAGGAGCCCGTGTGGAGAGGAGGCTGAGGCTGGGAAAGGGAGCCCTCGGCTCCAGCCCTTTTCCCCAGGCCCTCCGGCTGCACCTCACGGAGCTCCGGGGGGCGCACGAGGACGAGGTGCGAGGCGGGAGCAGGAGCCAGGACACAGCTCTGTGCCAGCTTTGGACCCCGCCTCGGGGCTGCTCCAGGCCCCGAGCCCTCCCATCCACAACAGAGGGAGAGGCCTCGTCACTGACCCCTCAGCCCCGCAGCAGAGCCACCGCGGGTGGGAAGAGCGAGGCAGGACCCCACACCGGGGGCCGCCCGGCCCGGTCCCAGCCGAGCAGCCAGTCTGGCCCGGTAGCCGGCCCCCTATAGGTTCTCTCCAGGCTGGTACTGGGGCTCAGTGGACGTGAAATAGTCCTCCAGGAAGGCCTGCAGGTACTCGAACGTGGGCCGTTCCTCGGGCTCCTTCCGCCAGCACTGGCACATGAGGTCGTGCAGGGACTCGGGGCACTCGGGTGGGCAGGGCATCCGGTAGCCTCGCTCCACCTGGTCCAGCACCTCCCGGTTCACCATCCCTGTGGGCGGAGGGAGGAGTGGGGAGGCTGGCTCTGGGGAGGAGCGTGAGGTGGGGGGAAGCTGATGGGGATAACAGGGTGGGTGTAAGCGAAAGCCCCTCCCCAAGGCTGGAAGCCCTGACCCGAGAGAGAGCCTAAGATCTGATGCTCAGCTTCCTGCTTATACAGATGGGGAAACTGAGGCCTGGGAGGGGGCCTGGCTTGTCCAAGGTCACCGGGACAGAGGGGTGCAGGGGCTGCAGGCGGGCTGTGGGAGCCCTCTTACCGGGGTAGGGTACCCGGCCCTTGGTCGTGAGCTCCGTCAGCAGGATCCCAAAGGACCAGACGTCGGACTTGATGGTGAACCGGCCATAAAGGGCAGCTTCCGGGGCCGTCCACTTAATGGGGAACTTGGCACCTGCAGGAGCAGAAGGTCATAGGGGCACCCTGCCCACCCCGCATGGCAGACGAGGACACTGAGGCTCAGAGAAGGGACCGGGCTTCCCAAGGCCCCTGGTGCCCGCCCAGGCCCCGCCCACCTTGCCGGGCTGTGTACTCGTTGTCCTCGATGAGCCGGGCCAGGCCGAAGTCAGCCACTTTGCACACGAGGTTCTCTCCAACCAGGATGTTGGCGGCACGGAGGTCCCGGTGGACATAGTTCATCCGCTCCACGTACGCCATGCCCGAGGCGATCTGCGGGCAAAACCCGGGAGCCCGGCTCAGGGGCCACCCCAAGCCCTTCCGGGTCACAGGCATGTGCCCAGGGCTGGGGTCATCCCGAGGGCAGAGAGCCAGCCAAACACCCTCCCCTCCCGACCTTCAAGTGACGCAGGTTCCCGTAAATGCTGCTGCACAAAAAGCAGGACCAGCGCTCAGCAGGAGGAGGGAAGGGGTGGGGGGCAAAGGGCAAAGGGCAAAGGGCAGAGGGAGGCACAAGAGAGAGGCACCCAGGAAAGCGGGCGACCATAAAAGAGCCCCAGAGACACAGGAGTGTCAGGTCCGCCTGCAGTCCCAAATCCGCTTTCCGAGCCTCAGTTTCCTTTCCCATCAAATGGCGTCAGAGCCATCCCTGCCTCCCCTGGTTGGGGTAAGGATTAAGTGAAAAAATAGTTGTGGAGCAAACCAGTACACGTTGGTGAACACACGTCCGTTCAGTGGGCGAATCACCTTCACAGGGAAGGAAACTGCGGCCTGAAGACCCACAGCAAGTCAGGGGCAGGGGCTCCTGCTGCGCGGTCAGGGCTCTTTCCTCTGCCAGAGCCGCCGCCGCCGCCGGCAGCGCCGTGGCGCCCCCAGTAACACACGGGCGGGATCAGCGCATGTGAAGGCAGCCAAAGCAAGCCTCCCGGAGGCGGCACCCAGGAGGCCAGAGCGGGCGGAGCCGGTGGGCCTGTGGGCACGAAGCCAGGGTGCGAGAGGGGCGGACTCACCTGAGCAGCCATGTCCACCAGCTGCGGCAGCCGCAGGTACTTGCCCGTCTCCCCCTTGAGAAAGTCCAGCAAACTCCCTGGGCAGAGAGAAGGCAGCGCTAGCCCCGGCCCCGGCCTCCCTGAGCCGGGAAGCTGGGACTCCAGGTCCTGCCCCAGCGGGAAGGGCTGGCCACGTGCTAACCAGCACTGCAGGCTTTACGTACACCCGTCTCTGAATAAAGTCTCACTCAGCGTTTGTCCTCCAGGGGCACGCAGGAGGAGAAACAGCCCAATGTCCACCTCCAGGGGAACAGAAACGATGGCCCACCCACTGATGGAACCCTACTCAGCAGCACAAAAGAAACAAGGTACGGGTAACGCGCCGCCAGGAAGACCCTCGGGTGTAAAAGATTACACAAATGACGTCCTAGAAGGAACCACCCCAGGATGACGGAAGATGTGTGCTTGCTTTGGGGCTAGGGCGCGGGCAAGCGAACTGTCCGGAGTGACACGGATCCTCTCTATCCAGACTGTGGTAAGGAATACAGAGCGTGTCCGTCTGTTAGAACTCACTGAGCTGGATGTATTTTATAACATGTAATGGGCAAGCTTTAGAATATATAAATTATGCCTCTAAAAAGTAGAATTTTAAAAAAATTCATTACTTTTAAAATTCAGTCAAGATAAAGCCAGGGACTTAATATGGCTCAATGAGGATGGTTGGGGAAGATCTCTTTCTGCCCCAAATGGCAAACAGCTTTAGAAAACCAGCCAACTGAGGTAGGCAAGAGGCATTGTGAGAGATCGTTAAAAACAAAATGAAACGGGAAAGGCCATCTTTGTTTTAGCTTTGCATCAACGTGAGAAGTTGTGTTCTAGTCCATCCCACCTTTAAAGAGGTACACTCTCAAGGGGGGGGGGGCAGTAAAGCACTCCCCACCTGCTGTTTGGTGAGCACCCTGATTCAGAGACAACCTCGCCGGGGGCTGCCCACGTCTCAGCGCCAGTCACCAGCCTCACCCTTGCTCATGTACTCCGTGACGATGTAGATGGGCTCCTCGGACACCACAGCGTACAGCTGCACCAGCTTCTCGTGCCTCAGTTTCTTCATGACCTGGGCCTCCTGCAGGAAGGCCTCGGGAGACATCGTGCCTGGTTTCAGGGTTTTGATGGCCACCCTGGTGGTGCCGTTCCAGGTCCCTGTGTGGGGAGGGAAGCAGGCTGCCTCAGTGGAGGCCCCCCATTCCCACCCATAGGGACCCAGGATCAGCTCTGGCCTCCCTGGCCATTCTGAGCCTCAGCGCTCCCACCTGTAAAATGGGCACAAGAACAGGTGCTCCTTCCAGGCCTATTGCAGAGACGAAATGAGTCTCTGGTACCTGCTCCAGGAATAGCAGCTGTTGTCAGGACTATGGTTATTGGGAATGTCCCCCAAAGCAGCACATTCACCCGAGATGGGAGAGCGCAGTTCCAAGCAACTACTCTTCCCTGGGTGATCCTGTTCCTTCTCAGCAGCACAAAGAAGGTGCCTCGGGTGCCAGCAAATGAATGGGGCTGGGAGCAACCGGGAAGAAGTAAGATCCTCCCCCATTGACTAATGCACAACCAACCCAGGTTGGAGTCTTGCAGCCACAGGAACAGCTGATGCGTGGACTTAGCCAGCGTTTGCTCACATCCTCGTTTTGCATATGTGCGTCAGAGCCTGCTTCTTATCCTTTGCCCTCTCTCTAGCTCAGAGCCAGCACCTCTCTTCTCCTGACTTGGCCTGAGCTCCAGCCTCCAGGCCTTTGTCCCTGCAGTGCCTCCCACCCAGGAACCCTCTCTGCTCCTCTCCAACCTCTCTTCCTCTGAAGGGAGGGAAGTGAAGACGGCAATGCCAAGTGAAGACAGTGGCTCAGAGGGACACCTCAAAGGCAGGCCACTGTGTCACGCCGACCTCACCCCAACTTCCACGATCCCACTGTGCCAGCAGTAGCCAGGCCGTGGAAGGGCACCTGAGTTTTGTCAGGGCCTCAGCGTGTTTGTTTGCAAGGACGGCTTTGCAGTTTCTCAGGGTGAGACCGAGATTAACAGGCCCAGAACCTGCCAGGCTGTGCTTCCCCGGACTCCCTCTGCGCACCGAGGCTTCTCTTCCCAAGGCTGAGAGCTCACCGGTGGACGCACCCTCACACAGCCCCTCGGTGGGTCCTACTACCAGCAGCCCCGTTTCACAGTTGGGAAGATTGAGGCTCAGAGTGAACCACGTGGCCCAATGCCCAGCCCCTCTGCAGAGGCATGAAGAGGCTACTTCCTATCTTGGTGCCAGCCACCACTGGGGGAGCCTCGTATTAAAATAAGGCCCAAGTTCAACAGCGGCAAGCGAGTCTCTGGGAGGTAAGGGCAAGGGGAATAAGAGGATCCTGAGCTGCCAGACAGATGGACGTTGGCCTGGTTCACAGTTGGGACACCCAAGTCCCCCGAGGGGACCGTGTTCTCCTTGGAGGTGGGGCGAGCACTCACCCATCCACACCTCTCCAAAGCAGCCCTGGCCCAGCTTGACCTCCAGTCGCAGAGACTCCCGGGGGATCTCCCAGGCGTCCTTGGCCAGGCCCTGCGTCTGCGGCTTGGACGTGGGGCACACGGTGGTGAGTCGGTGGCACAGGCCGTCGGCATGTTCTGCAGATGGAGTCAGGGGAGTGGCGTTCAGGCCCGGCGTCCGCCCTGGGGCCTCCCCGTCCCACCCTATGCACAGACTGACACACTGTGTGCACACTGGCTGCACACAGGCTCCGGGGACACGCAGGCAGATGCCCGTGAGGCCAAGCATCCACACCTGTGTGTACACACCCTCACCCCACACAGCTCACACCGCCCCAGGCACCTGATCCCTGAGTCATCCGTCCACGCAGTCATCACACTTTAAGGCGTGGCCAGCGAGGCGGGTACCAGGGACTCACTGGAGGAGAAAAGTCCAGTGGGACCTTGGCCTCTGGGAGCTCACAGTCCAGGGGGAGCCCAACTTCCTTGATCAACTCCCAGGACCACGTGGGTGACGTGCATGCCACACCAGGTGGGGTGGAGAGAGTCCGGGAAGGCTTCCCAGAGGAGGCGGTACTTGGGCTTGAGTGGGCAGGAGCGTGAGTGGTTAACCAGGAACGAGCACTCTAAGCAGAAGGTATGGTGCTCACGCCTGTGTAAAGGCCCTTAGGGAGGGACGGCTGCTGGGGAGGAGTGGAAAGGAGGCTGGGGGCTGGGAGACTGCGGGGAAGTGGATGGAGGAAGGGCAGCTGGGCTTAGACTATTCAAGGCCTCAGAGGCCACACTGGGGTCCTTTTCCTAAGATGGCAAGAGCATCCCGGAGGGTTTTGATCTGGGGGAACAGGATTCAGAAGGAAGAGTAGGGTGGCTGAGGGACTGACGGAAGTGGCAGATCCTAGAAGAGTCAGGAGGTGGGTTGACAGAGGAGGAGGACGTGTGGGGCGGGAAGTAGCAGGCACGCTCAGACTGGGCCACCCCTGCACAGAGGCCAGCGCTGCACACCCCCAGCACAGACTCCCACAGGCCCCCCCAGGGAGCACGCTTCAGTCCACCGAGCACCTCACCAGCCAGACACAGCAGCCGCTCTGTGTACGCAGGGGCTGTGCATGTGAGCACACCAGCCCTCGCTCCCCCTGCGCCCCCCCTCCCAGCAGCAATCAATGTGGCAGCCCCCTCCTCTTCTACCAGCAACCAGTTCAGACCGGTGCTACCGCTGCAGAGACAAAGGACACCGCCTGGGCCCCTCCCTTCCCTGCTCACTCCTCCAGGCAGCCCCCTCCTCACCAGCCAGCTGCAGAGAGGAGGAGAAAAAGGAGGGAGGAGCAGTGGGGGGAAATAGGGAGAGGAAATAAGGAAGAGAGCACAGGGAGGAAAGAAAAGGGAAAAGATGGGGAGGGAGGAGGGGGAAGAAGAAGGGGCAGGGGAAAAAGCAGGGAGAAAGGCAGGAGCCACATATCCTCAGCATAACAAAAGCCCCAGCCCTGTTGGTCTGCAGCTGAGGCCCTGAGAGGGCCGAGCCCGGGCCAAGGCCTGCGCCCGGGCTGAGGCTGGGGCTGGGGCTGGGGCTGGGGCTGGGGGCGGCACTCACTGGAGTAATAGGCCACGAGCTGCTGCAGGCTGTTGAACTGGGTGCGCGAGGTGATGTAGAAGCCGCCGCTGTCCAGCTTTCGGATCTTGTAGTGCTTCACGTTGAGGCCCTTGGCGTTGTCGAAGTCGGACACGGAGAGGCAGTAGGCGCCTGCAGGGAGGGCCAGAGAGGAGCCGTGACCACCAGGCCTGCCATCCCCACCACCACCGCCGGCCGCAGCACTAAGCACAGCTCTGTGCCTGTCCAACACGGGAGGGCAGAGGGATGCCGAGCCGGCAGCCCCTGGCCCAGGCCGAGCCAGGTCCTGTTCAGCCCAGCTCTGGGGCAGCCACGGAGACAGGGCCAAGTGAGCGAGGCAGTGCCTGGCTGGAGAGCTCGGCCAGGCACCCTGGACCCTGGCAAGACCTCTGAAGCCTGAGTGTCCGAACTGTGTGACCTGATCACGTCGCTTGCCCTCTCCGTGCCTCAGTTTCCTCCTCCGCACAATGGGGCTACTCCCAGAGCTGCTGGGAAAACTTAATAAGACCACCTATAAGAGGAGCTCAGGCCAAAACCGGTTTGGCTCAGTGGACAGAGCGTCAGCCTGCAGACTGAAGGGTCCCGGGTTCGATTCGGTCAAGGGCATGTACCTTGGTTGAGGATACATCCCCAGTAGAGGGTGTGCAAGAGGCAGCTGGTCGATGATTCTCTCTCATCGATGTTTCGAACTCTCTATCCCTCTCTCTTCCGCTCTATAAATTTAAAAAAAAATCAATAAAATATATTTTTAACAAAAAAGAAGAAAAAAAAAAAGAGGAGCTCAGAACATGCTTGATGGGAGCATAGACGTGTCCCCACGTGGCTGTGCGCACCCCGATTAACTGCCCCCTTCTCTGGGTCCGCCTTGGGAGCCCTCTCTGTGCCCCACACTCCGGGCTCAGGCAGGAGCCAGTGACTGGCTGAGGCCGAGGCAGACAAGGCAGGAGCCCATGTGCTGGGCATGACCTGAAGGCTGCTAGGGCTCAGCTGGGCAGCCACAATGACCCCTCCCTCCTTTCCTTGACCCTGGAAAAGCTTTGGGCTGGAACAGCTCCCTCCTACCCAGCAGGCCTGGCTAGGAGCCTCTGTTAACCTGAGCCCAGAGACAGTGGCCTCAGGGAACAAGGCTGAGCCCAGAGTGGGGCAGTGGGCGCAAAAGCTCTCTGGCCACAGACTAGAAAGCCCTTCTTGGGAGGCAGCGTACAGGCACTTCGCTAGAAGCCCAGCCCCCGAGGCCACGGACCCTCTGGACAGTCCCCAGGCGGAGGCTAAAACCTGTGTGAAGACGGGAAAATGAGGCCCAGAGAGGGCAAGCAGCTGGGCTTCAGTCACACAGCAAGTCAGGCCCCGAGCTGACCTGAACTGGAACCTGGGTCTCTAAAGCCCATGACTTCCTCCAGACGACCCCGGCCCCATGCACATGGGAGCCATAGGCCTGCGCCTGAAGCCAACCCCTGACCATGTGCACACACACAGGCGTGCCTGTGCCCATGGCTGCATGCTCACAAAGGCACACACTCCCCGGGCTCACAGGCATGAAGACAAACCCACAATTCTCTCCCACACAACAATACACACACGAAGCCACCCCCATGTGCACACACACACGCCCAGACCCACACACGGCCAGACCCACACACGGTGTGCATGGCCACAGGACCGTGCATGTGCGTGACACGGGTGATCTGCTTTCCCAGCTCCTGCTGAGGCCCAGGCCCACAGGAAGTGGCCCAGCTTCGTTGCCATGGTGATGGGGCGCCTGCAACCCACTTGCAGAGGGGCCAGAGAGAAAGCGGTGATGCATATGCGTTTTCTTGCTGGGGGGGAAGGGGCAGAAGAACAGGGCCCCGGACTGGTGGGGGAAGGGTAAAGCCAGGTCCCAGGACCCAGTCCAGCCCCAGAGGCTCCGGAAGAAGGGGAAGAAGAGGGACCCCTTGCAGTAACACCCACCCTGGGAGCAAGCCTTTCACTGTGTGGCCCCCAGCCCTCCTGACAACCTGTATCCGCTCCTCATCGCAGCAAACGGAGGCCGGAGAGGCCACGTGCCCTCTCTTACTGCCCCTCTGGCCCCCAAGACAACGCCGTGTCCTCAGGTGTACCTCTCTGCCTTTGGTCTTGTCATTTCCTCCACCCTGAGGGTTCTTCCCACTTCACGGCATACACCAAACTCCTGTTCACTCTGCAACACCCTGCTCACACAGCCCACCAGGAGTTCTGGCTCCTATGGGCTCCTACCTTTCGTGGTCTCGCTCTCCCGCACGAGGAAGGTCCCTCTCGGGTTCTCTGCGTTGAGCAGTAGCCGCTCTGACTCCCGTCTCGTGATCTTGCCAAAGTACCACCTGGGGCGGGAGGGAGGAGGGTAATACCGGCGATCCAGGCTTCCTTCCGCCCATCCACAGGGCCTCTGGCCTGGGCCCTCGGCAGCCAGACCTCCAAGCCCAGCCCAGGAGAGAAGCCACGGCGAGCAGGCGGAGGCCAGGGTCCATACTCACTCCTCAGCCTGGATGGAGTCGGAGGGCGCCACGTAGTTGCTGGGGATGTAGCCCGTCTGTCCCGTGCTGAGCGAGTGGGCCAGCCACCAGTCTCCCTCTCTGAGCGGGGGATAGGGAGGGAACAAAGGAGAAGGGGATCGTCAGCGGTGGGTCCCGCTGCCTGCAGTGTTCAGGGTGTTGTGCTGGGAGCCCCGGAGGCCGGTGGAGCACGGGGAACGGCGGGACCAGGCCCCTGGCAGCCTGGCCGGCCATGCCGGCCCACGTGCCTCGGCCAAAGCTGACTCCGACCGGCTTGGTCCAGGACTACAGCAGGACTGGCCTTGGTCAGTCTGGAGCCCGAGTGCCAGGGCAGAGTCAATGGGAAGGACGCTCACTTCCCTACAGATAGACCAGCTATTCAAGACACCAAGAGCTGCCTGGGAGTGAGGTAAGGGGAACCCTTGTCTTTGGGGAGCAAGCAAGTTACAAGTTCAAGTTCCTGTCGGAGATGGATGTCCAATCAGACCTTCAGCGTCTCCCCGTGCCCTGAGACTGGGAAGCCCAGTGCTGGGAGCTGGTGAGACCTGGGAGAAGGCAGGGGGTGGCCCTTCTGGGGATTGGTGACCATCCAAGTGCCAACCCTGCCACCTAGAGCGATGCCTGCCTTTGTCACAAATCAGAGGTCACACCGAAGGGATCCCTGCCTGGAAACCACACGCCTCCTCTCGCAGCCTGCCTGTCTAAGGGGGAAACTGAGGCCAGAGGGGGCTGGGACTTGCCCAAAATCACACAGCGAGCCATGCCAGAGGGGGCTACAGAGCCCCGATGCCCGGGACACTCCCGTGCTAATGCCCCACGAGCAGGAAGAGGAGATGGGCCGGGGCAGGAGGAGCTCCCCACAGGGCGGGGCCCCTGGGCCTGTGGGAGGGAGGGGGAGGGGCGAAGTACCTTTGCAGCCATCTGAATGTGAACCAGGTCTGGCTGGAGCGGGGGTCCAGAGACACAGAGGAGAGAGGAGAAAGCGAGAGCCCAACGGGAAAGAAGAGGCAGAGATGGGGGTGGTGAGAGGGAGAGGCAGGAGGAGCGAGGAAAAGAGCAGGACAGCCAGGCGGTGCTGGGGAGGGGCAGCCAGGGGGCAGCCACAGAGGCCTCGCATCCAAAGCAACCGGAGGCATCGTGGGGAGGGGGGCGGCGATGGGAAGGGCTGCCTGGGAAACAGGGTCCAGCTCCCTCCCATTCCCACTGCGTGGATGGGAAGACTGAGGCCAGAGAAGCGAAGGCCTCTCTCTGCTCAAGGTCACACAGCCAGGCCCAGGCGCCAGCCGCCCCATAAGAAGGCGTTCTCCCTACAGGGGCTCGATAGCTTGCTGAGCTTCTCCACCCAAGGACACCTCTGGGCCTCACCACGACCCTGAAGAGACAGACAGACGGCTATCGGGATGGACTCCCCTCCCCATCGCCAGGGCCGGGAGAGGGAAAGGTCCTTGCCAACAGTCACACAGTCTGGACTTGAACCCAAATCCCCGGCTCCTGGTTTTTCTGAGTTTTCCCTGTCCCACGTTCTTCAGCCCATTTTGAAGATGGAGAAGTTGAGGCCAGGAGAGCACGGGGCTAGGGATGCCCTCCAAGGACCTGGGAAAGGGCAGGTGAGCACTCAGACCGGGGCTGAGCCAAGGGAAGAGGCGTTGGACCAGAGGGGTAGGGTCTTTCTGGCTGGACGGAGGTGAGAGCAGCAGGATACGGCTGTGCAGGCTGACCTGGCTGTGCCATCGCTGACCTGCACTCAGGCAGGGACACAGTTCATGTGGGAGTTTCTGCAGGAGAGGGAGGGCCACAGAGTGAGGGGACAAGGCCCACCTCAAGGAAAGAAGCTCCTGGATGGCCGGGGCCTCCATCCACCCCCTGCTGTGCACCCATCAGGGTGTCTGCACTTGTCTGTCCCATTTGACCCTCAAGGCCACCCTCAGCAGGAGGAAGACAGGCCTCAGCCCCCACATTAGGACACGCAGCATCCAGGCTGGAGCAGCCCAACACCTCCTTTGCAGAGTTGGGGAACTTGAGGCACAGAGAGGGGCTGAGACTCGCCCAAAGCTACAAAGCAAGGACTCAAGTCTCAGGGCACAACTGTGATCATCCAGTCCAAAACTGCATTTCACCAACGGGGAAAACACGGCCCAGAGAGGGGCAGGGCTGTGCCCAAAACGATATCGCAAGTCAATGGCAGAGCAAGAGGGCGGCCAGGGCCCGGGTGCCCGCAGCCAGCAGGCCTTCAGGACACCTGCCGTCTCCCCGGGCCCTCAGGGCCCAGAGGCCCTCGGGAAACCAGGGGAAGATGAAAGAGGAGGCGCAGGACTGGAGGGCAGGGGGCTGGGCTGGTCACAGGCTACAAAACGAGGCAGATTGGCAAACCGGAGTCTGAAAGCTGAGCAGCCTCCACCTCAGAGGGGAAGGTCGGTGGAGCGTGTATCCAGAGGCCAGCCAAGGAGAGACCCAGAAGCAAGGAGGGCGCAGTTCCGCTGGCATGATCCAGACTTTGGCCAGCAGAGCCTCTCGCTCCCTGACATCAGCCCACATGTGAGTTTGGGTTCCTAGTCCCGTTTCTGAGTTTTAGTTCACAAGGGCAGGGAGGGTGGCTGTTTGCCACTAAAGGACCCAGGGTCCGACTTGAGCCTGGCCCCAGCTTGAGAGGCGTCTGAGAGCTGGAGCACCAGAGTTAGCCACAGGCTGTGTGACCTTGGCCCTGCCTCAGTTTCCCCATCTGTTAATGGGGATAATACTCCTGCATCCCTCCAAGGGGTGCTCAGTGTGCATGAACTATGAATATCTTAATTTGGCTAAAAATTTTTTTGAATTTATATCTCAGTGGTGCCCCTCTCCCCACTCACAAAAATGTGTTTTAAAAACTAATGCCAAAGCAGCTCAGTCCATCTCCAATAAGGATTTGCTGTGTGACCTTGGGCAAGTACCCTGCCCTCTCTGGGTCTTCGTTTCCTCATCTATACAAAAGACACTATAAATAATACTTCTTATTTCCTTCTTCGCAGAATCATCCTTGCTGAAAAGTATGTAAATCAATCGGTATCCAGCCAGCTTCCGCTTCAGCAAGCTAATCCTGTATCACCTGAGCCTCAGTTTACCCACCTGTGAAAGGGAGCCATCAAGCCCCATCTTCCCAAGTCTACAATCTGGGACAGCGGTCGCCAACCTTTCGGACCTTACAGACCAGCAGTGATCTGCAGACCCCCGGGTGGCGACCCCTGGCATGGGCGACTCAAACCTGCCACAGGTGTGCCACGGGCCTGAGGCTGCCCCGCCAGGAGATGCCCACAGCTTCCCAGACCAGCCCAGTGCCGCAGGGACGCCACCCCTACCCAGCCTCAGAAGCAGCAGTGAATGAACCTATCAGGCGGAGCAGATTCGCCGAATCTGGCACCTTCCCTGGGGCCTAGTTCTTATCCGGTGGGTAGGAAAAAGGGAAAGAAGGAAGAGAATGTCCCTGTGGACACAGACGATGGGGCGGGGAGGGGTTGGGTGCAGGGGAGGACAGCAGCGGCTGGAAGAGGTTTATGGGGGAAAGGGGAGGACCTACGTAATACTTTCAACAATAAAGATTTTTTCTTTAGAAAAAGTCATTCCCCGCCTGATCCCTCACCTTCCCACCTGTGGCCAGAAGAGGAAGCAATGGACCAGAAGCCCCTGAGCCACTGTTTTATATTTCAACGGCTGCTCACCAGCTGTGTGACCTCGGGCTACTGACCACACCTGTCTGAGCCTCAGGACCCTCTTTTTGGACCCTAATCCTTGTGCTGCCAGGAAGGTACGTGGGTCAGGATTGTGGCAGTTTAGAACCTAAATTATGCCCGTTTGGGTGCTTACATACTGGTCAACTAGGCAAGCCTGGGCAGCGGGCATGGCCCTAGCAGGCAAGTTTCCTGAGCTTGGGCACAGGGCACTTCGGAGAGGGCAGGTGAGGCCAGGGCAGGTCAAGTAAGGAGGACAGGAAGGTGCCCTTTGCCCATGGTGGGGAGTACCCAAGGCAAGGTGTGAGAGATGAGTGTTTCCCCAGAGAAGCCGCCACAATGTGGGTGGGAGAAAGGGGCCGTTCAGGGAGCAACCCAAAGGGGCCCTGACTCCCGGAGACTCAGACACCAGGGCTGGGCTGGGGACAGGCAGGCCTCAGAACCCCGTGGGCTTCCTCAGAGCCAGGGCCACAGAGCGCCCAGGATTCTCGGGCTCAGGCCACAGGGCACGAAGTCCGCCACCACCACACTTCCCAGGCGGCTGAGCACGGTGCATGCAGAGCGACGCTCGATTCACCCCACCCTCCATAGTGCCACTGAGGGCTTCCCATGCACGGGCTCCAACACGGCCAGCCCCCCGACAGCCGCAGAGCTGGCCAAACACCCGCAACCACCCCGAAGGCAGGAAAAAGGAAGGAGAGAGGTGGACAGAGCAGGAGCGAGGGCTGCTCTCGGGGTGAAAGATGCAGAATCCGTTTCCAGAGCCCCTCCTCCCGCCACACCTTGGCTCAAGCTGTGACCCCAGCCTGAGATGCCCTTCCCATTGTTGCTGGTTGAGATGCCCCCCAGTTCTTCAAAGCCTCTGACCCTGCATCCTCCCTGCACCGCCTTTCCCTCCTCCTGGCTCCTCTGCTCCTCCCCAGCAAGGCCCCTGGGGCACGCCTACCCTCCCAGCTCTGCCACTGCTAGCTGTGTGACCTTGAGCAAGTAATATCCCCTCTCTGGGCCTCAGTTTCCTCATCTGTAAAAATGGAGCAAATACGAGTTTCCACACACTCGCCAGGAGCGTGGCGATGTGTAAACAGAACAATGCAGCTCCAAGCGCTCCGCACAGGACCTGGCTCACACACAGCACAGTGAACGTCCGTCCGGCTCACCTGCACCAGGGGGCCCCCCAGCGTGCTGAGCAACAGGTGATAGGAGGACCCAGAAATGTGGGGAGCCCGAGCAGCCCTCAAGGCACTCCCCCTTTGCGGGGAGGCAGATACAAACGGCTGGAACCGAGAGAGAACTGGAGTGACACTAGGAACGGGACCCACGAGGGGGTGGGACGCGGGGAAAGCCCCTCCCCCGGGGAGAGCAGCCTGAGGGAGGGAGGGAGCCGCGGCCCAAGCTCCCATCCTGGCTTTGCTGACTGGCAGCTGTGTGACGCTGGGCAAGGGCCTTCCCATCTCTGAGCCTCAGTTTCCTCGTTTGCAAAATGGAGACATCCCCTCCCCCCATCACTATAGCCCTGGCCGGACTGCAGCCGAGCACATTTGAGGGCGTGGGTTTAAAATGCCTGCCCGGCCCCTCGCCTCTCAGAGAAGGCGGTCTTCGGCTGGGTCTTGAGGGATGAATAGAGTTTGCCAGGCAGAGGTGGGGCACAGGGCACTTTAGGCAGAAGGAACAGCATGCTCGAGGGCCGGGAGGCACGGACCAGCAAGGCCCACTCGAGGAGGGTGGAGACAGCCAACCTCCTGAGCCAGGCCTTCGAGGACCCTCGGGGACCACCTCCGCCCTGTCCTCTGGGACCTGCTTGCCCTCCCACGGCTCCCTCCAGCGCTGCACCTCCCTCAGCTGTCCCTGTGAGGGACCGCCTTCCACCCCTCCACCCGTTTTCCCTCCAAAGACCTTGAACCTCCCGGGCCCTGTGGTCACCACAGAGGGGGACACACAGCAGAAGCCCAAATGCCCGGGCGGACCCACCCTCTGCCTGGCCTGGGGCCGGCCCCTGGCTACCCTCTGGCTCCAGGAAGGCGTGGGCAAGGCCTTCTCCACCCAGGCCTCGATGGGCCCAGCGCTGAGCCATGCCTGCAGCTGGCACTCAGTGTGGGCGGATGGTCAGAATGAGGGGTGGGTGAGTTAGGAGGGTGGGTGGGGGGAGGGCGGTGGAGAGTGGCAGGGGTGATGGGAGGGCTCTCCCCATTCTCAGCCTGAGGTTGAGGTAGGGACCTGGTCAAACTGGCTGGTGGGGGTGAGGACACAGGCCGGGGAGCTGAAAGCGGGCAGCCAAGGGAGCCGGAGACCACAGGCAGGGAGGGGGGACACAGCCGCATGCAGACAGCAGCCCCACCCCCACCAGCAAAGCACCCCCACCCGGCCCGCCCACCAAGTATGTACACACCTGACATCCACCTTCCTCCTAAGGGCCAGCGAGAGAGAAGCAGAGAGAGGAGAAGCTGAGAGAGGGCAGGGGGAAGCGAGTGCGGGCCAAGGATGGGGTGGGGAGGGCCCAGGCTGCAGGGGGAGGGGCAGCAATGCAGCAGGTGCAGTCTCTGCCCTGCCCTGTCAGCCCTCCTGCGTGAGCAAACCGTCCCAAGCCCACCCTCCACCGCCCTCCACCGCCCTCCCTGGGCCCTAAGGCTGCACGGCAGCCCCAGGACAGGTGTAGCATCTCACTCCCACTGCACTCTAGGAGGGGGCAGGAGGAGGAGGACCCCACCCCATGCTGGGGCCCCCACAGGCCAGCCTGGCTCTAGGATAGCCTACCCCGAGGATGGAGCCCCTGGAGGTAAACCAGACATCCACCAGAGAGTCCTGCCCTCCACAGCCTATGCTGCCATCTCACCCACACGCCCAGTGCTGACCTTCTCCTCTATGTGCCCAACATGGGTGCCCCACTCCTCCCACGGCGGGCTCCTCCCCTTACAGCGGGACACGCTGACTCATCCGGTGTCCCAGGCCCTCCAGCCTGAGGTCACTAATGGGGGCACCTTGGTGGGCATGGCCTCCCGTGTTCAGCCCTGCTTCGTGTAGTCCTGAGTCCTGGGTCCTGGGCCCAGTCCTGCCATGACCACATGCCCCCTGGCAGAGTCTGGCATCTGGGGACCGGGGGTACTGTGCCCATTGACACGTTACTGAACCCAGACCTCTGTCCCAAGGGCCCTCCTGGAGGCCTAACCACCACCACTTGCCTCATTATCACCCCACAGGCCTCAGGACGGACTGCTGGGCCTCCACAGCCTCGCGCTCAGCTCTGCCTGCTGCCCAACATGCTGCTCAGACGTGGTTCTGGCCCAACGCCAGGCCCAAGGGACGGGATGCCCAAGGGCGACAGGGAGGGAGGCACTCACGTGTTGTTGACAATCTGCAGCCGCTCCCCTTTCTTGAAGGACAGGTCGGTCTCTGTCCGCGACTCGTAGTCGTAGAGGGCCACAAAGGTGGTCACTCCGCCTGCAGAGAGGGTCGGGCGCGTCAGCACGGCCACGGGCAGGGAGAGGCGTGGACGGCAGGGCCCTGGCCCCGGGGGCGTGGAGGTTGGTCTCCCACGTGCCGTCAGAGCCCAGCCCGAGTCACGGTCACATTCAGATCTGTGTCCGTGCGCCCGGCACCCCTGTGAGGGCGGCAGCAGGCACCCATCTCTTCCTGCCTGAGTCCCACGGGGCTCCGAGCGGCGCTGGCATCTGTTTGGTGTCTGTCTTCTCCACAGAAGCAGAAGCCCCCGCAAACGGCCATCTTCGTTTTGTCCCCGAGCCTGACACACGGTAGGTGCTCAAGAAACACTAACTGTGGGATGAGTGAACCCGTGAAGGAAGGACACTGCCCCAGCGGAGGTGGCTCTGCTTCTCTCTCCTGGCTCTTCTGTGTGTCGGTGGAGAGCTTGGCGGCAGGTAACTGTCCCCTCAAAGAGGCCCTCCCTGTCCCCCGTTTTAATCACACCCTCTATCCCCCCATCCTCCAAAAGGCCCTCCTGCCCCCTCGGTCCTTCTCACCCGCGACCACCTTCGAGCACGCCGCACAGCGCACACATCTGTCTCGCTTTGTTTCCCTCCCCTGCGGGGACCATGTCTGCATTACGCACTGCGGGGTCCCCAGACCAGAAGAATCCGAGCACACAGGAGAGGTGCCACCAACACTTCTTGAACAAATGAACCGGTGTGCATGTGGGTCTGTGGGTCTCACTCGGACGTGTGTCTGTGCCTGAGGAGTCCAAGCGTGTCCATGTGTCTCTGTGTGCTTTTGTGTTCTCACTGCATGTGTGTACCCTCGTGCCTCTGTGAGCCTGTGGGCATCTGCAAATCCGTTTCTCAAGTCTGTGTCTGTGTCCCGTGTGTGTCTTGGAAGGGCTTTGACTACACGTGTGTCTTCATCTGGGAGCAGGAGGTTAGTTGTATGGGTGCGTGTATTTGTGTACACTGCATAGGGGGTGTCTGTGCCCAGGGAGGGCACATCCATGTGTGCTCTATGTGTGAGGTGTGTGTGTCTAGGATGGCGTCTCCAGTGTAGCACATGCACATGTCTTTTCATGATTTCTCTGCACCAGGTGCTGACGCATTGTGTAACGATGTGTGCATGGCTCCGTGGGAGTGTGCTGGGTGGGAGTACAAGTGCTTGAGAGTGTCATGTGGTCTCCTAGGACCACATCTGTCTCAAGCATCCCTGTCTTGGCTGTTATACCCCAACGTGCCAGCAGAGGGCGCAGGGGCGCCTCTCAGCATCAGAGGCCTCAAAAGAGCTTTGATTTTTAACTCCCAACCCGCCAGGCCCCTTGACCACACACTAGCCACCTATCCCGACCCGTCAATGGGCTGACCAGAGCGAAGAGCCAAGCCCCAGACGTGGTCTCCACGCTGCCCAGAGTGGCTCCCTGACCCTCTGGGCCTTCGTCCCCCTGCAGTCCTCTATCTTCAGACCCTTTACGCTCTGCATCGGACGGACTGTGCACCGCGCTTCCCGCCCGCAGCCTCCAGGAAACTCCCAGGAGTCCCCAGGCCAGTTAACCCACAGGCACTCCCCTTCAGTGAGCAAAAGGAGCGGCAGCCCAGAGAGGGGGTGTCGCTGCCCCAGGACACACAGCCCCCAGGCCCACTGACCAGCCAGCGACCCCGCCCTCTGCGGGGAGGTGACCGTGTCCGAGGAGTTGAAGCCTCCAAACAGCTTGGGCTCGGCGGCGGCCGGGGAGAAGGCGGAGTTGGGGCCGCGGTGGCCATCGGCGGAGGCCGGCTTGCTGGGGGTCTGCGAGGTGGGGAAGGCACCCCCACCGCTGCCGCCGCCACCGTGGGCGCTCTCAGCAGGCTCCAGGCTGCGGCGCCGCTGGCTGGCATCCTTGGGCTTGCTCTTGTTGCTGCCCATGGTCCTGGGTGGGGAAGAGAGAGGAGCCTGGCGTGAAGGAGGGACCGTGGGAACGGGCAGGGCTGCCTGGGCCCCTGAGACAGCCTCCGTCCGCCCTAACCCATTCTACAGACGGGGACTCTGAGGCCCACGAGGGGTACTAGCCTCTTTGGGGACGTCAGCCGTCCACAGCCTCCACATCTTCATCTGTGACATGGGAATGATGGCGTCACCCAGAAAGGGCTTCCTTAGGTACAGGATCGAGCACAGAAAGAAACCTCATAACCAGAAGCCCTAACCTCTTCCACATTCTCCTGAGTCACTGCTTCTGTCCCTCGTGGGCTGGGACAGTATGAGTCATCTCTGTGCACTCAGCACATAGGAGGGGGCTCGTGGAGGGTTTGCCGAGGGAATACATGACGGACTGCAATTGTCTGATCCAGGGGGAAAGGTGCTAAATGTTGCCATTAACTCAGGCAGCTGAAAGGAGGAGAGATGGCTGGGAGCTCACCCCAGCCACAGGGCTTTGCACATGCTGTTCCCTCTGCCTAAATGCTCCCCTCTGACCACTTCACCAGGGTAACCTGGGCCTCCCTCAGTTCTCAGTGCATAAGTCACTGCCCCAGGAAACGCTCCTCGGATCCTTTCACCGGTCTAAGTTCATGTGACTTCTGTGCCTCTCCTTGGTCACCTGTGGCCCCGTGACCACTTAGTTTGTGTTTGTGTGGTTATATTATTGTTATTATTGTCATGGACTTTAGTCTGTCTAGTTCACTGCTCTGCTCCCTGTACCAAGCACAGTGTGGCACACAGCAGGTGCTCAATAAACAGCAGAATGAAAGAGACTTCTGCCGAAACCGGTTTAGCTCAGTGGATAGAGCGTCGGTCTGCGGACTGAAGGGTCCCGGGTTCGATTCCGGTCAAGGGCATGTATCTTGGTTGTGGGCACATCCCCAGTAGGTGGTGTGCAAGAGGCAGCTGATCGATGATTCTCTCTCATCTATGTTTCTAACTATCTATCCCTCTCTCGTCCTCTCTGTAAAAAATCAATAAAATAAATATAAATATAAATATAAATATAAGTATTAAATATATATATATATATATATATATATATATATACACACATATAAAGAAAAGAAAAAGAGAAAGAGATTTCTGAGCCAGAAACCTGGCCGGTCAAAGCTTCCCAGCGGTGCCCAGTGCCCTGCCACGCCCTTTTACCTCCCATTCCCCATTCTCAGGTCCTGGCTGCCCCCCCCCCCCCCCACCGACCGGACTTGGCCAGGGTCTCCCTACCATCACGGCCACCTCCCTGCTCCCTCTTCTTGGCAGTCCTGACGGGCCATCGCCTCACCTGGAGGAAGGAGGGGGCTGTCCCAGGACCTGGGAAGCAGCCTGGGGTCTCGGCAAACACCAGGCGTGGAGTCAGGGGTCGCAGACTAAAGGCCCCGCTGTGCCTCTTCCCACTCCGTGACCTCAAGGAGTCACTTCCCCTCTCCGGGCCTCCGCATCCTCACCTGCAAAGCAGGGGCAAAGCAAACTCTCAGGGCTGCGGTGAGGGTACGCGCCGAAGAGAAATCACCACGGCTGTGCCGGTGGCTCCTGATCTCCGGCTCTGCCTCTGGGAGACAAAGCCACGAGCTTCCCAAACCTGGCGTTTCCTTCTCGCCGCCCAAAGCCTTTTCTGAGCGAGAATGATGCTGGGCCGGGCACGGTGGTAAGGAGTGGGCTCTGGAGCCAGACTCCGCAGCTCAGGCCCTGCCTCTGTCCCTGAGCAGTCGCGTGAGCAGGTAAGCGACTTAACTCCTCTCTGTGCCCCGCTTCTCCATCTGGAAATGGTTGGGTCGTGGGCATCACTGAGCGAGGCAAGCCAGAGTGCTGGCAACACAGCAGGCCACCCTGCCATCGGCTCTCGCTGGTCTGTGTGACTCTGGACACACCCGCCGGGTGGTTCCGACGGTTCTCCAGGGCACACTGGGCACGCTGCAGGCCCTGGAATTAGTCCAGAGTTCCCTCTGAGAACCTATGGATGGAGAGAAGCTCCTTTGACTGTTTGGGGTCTGGCAAGCCTGCGAGGCCTGAGAGCTGAGCCCAGCTCTGTGACCTCACCACCCGCTACGTGAGCCTCAGCCGGCCCAGAGGCCCCTCCGCCCTCTGGGCTGCAGCCTGCTCTGCCGCACAATGGAGGTGTGGCCTGCATGCTCCCTGGGGTTCCTCCAGCTCAGAGAATGTGGGGCTGGGGAGGCCCTAGGGAGACCTGCTTAACAGCCCAAAGGATCACCAGGGCCTCCTGAGGGACTGACGGGCCTGGGGACAGAAATGGCCAATTTCTACGGCAACCCAATCCATCAAGGTCATGGCGCCCATCAGCCCTCATACAGTCCGTGTCCCGTGGGTCCTCCTGACCCGATTACCCACGTTCCCAGGCTCGATGGGGGCTGAGCCCCAACCACCAAACCTCCAGCCCACTACCCTGGTCCAGCTTTCACAGCGCCAACTGTGCAGGAGGCTCTCTGTGGGTCCCTACGGCAGGACGAAGGTGCACTGGCCAGGCCCTGCCCCCGAGACGGCATGCCCTAACAGAGCACTTGTTTGTGGCTTTTTGAGAGGAAATAAAAATTGTAAAAACATATGTTTTCAAAGTTTTTAAGTGAAGAACTTTCTAAGGTCCCAAACGTTCTTTACAAGGAACTGAATGATGGAAAGTGAGCCTCCTGTCACGGGAGGTAACCAAGAACAGGAGATAGGGTACTTGGCTAAGGTGCTGTGGAGTGAGAGGGAGAGCCAGCACGGGACCCTGGAGCCTCTTCCCAGCACCAAGAGGATGTATGTGCCCCTGGTGAGGGGCGAAGGAAGAGGGGAGTCTTACACTCCCCTCTGAGGCACTCCAAAAAGCATAAGACCGGAGGTGAGGTGACTGCAGTGTTTCCTGGTTTCTGGGGTTTGGTCTTTTGTGGGGGGTTTTTTGATTCTTGTGGTTGATTCTAATTATACAAGTAAATATATATATTTGTGGGCAGGAGGCAGGTCGAGGTTAAGAGCCAGAGTCCTGGATTGGAGTACTTGTGTTTGAACCCAAGCCCTACCACCCTGGCATGGGACCCTGTGCCTCAGTTTCCTCCTCTGTCAACTGGGTATAATAAAGGTACCACATCAGAGGGCTGCTGGGAGAACCAGTGAGGGGAGTGCATGGAGCACACGTTTCCTCCCGGCATCACGTGACTGTAGGGCTGTACACTGGGACCCACGTGGTGCCCTGGACCCTATCTCCCTGCAGGCAGGACCAGAGTGGATCCATCTCCGTTTCCTGGTGACCAGGAGGCCTGGCTCCTACCCGGTGCTCTGGAAATATCTGCAGAATAGACAAAAGACTAAAGAACACAGACATGTGGTCTGCATTCTGCTTTGTTCCTGCAATTTCGTGTGGAGACCAAGTATCATTCTGTGATATTCAACCCCTCCCAGAGCCTGGTCCTTCTACGGGGCGCTGAACTAAGCACCTGGCAACTACTGACTCATCGAATCCCCGTGATAATCCAGGAGGTAGATGCTAACAGTGCCCCTATCTTACTGGTGAGGAAACTGAGGCACGGAGAGGTTGAGGAACTTGCCTGAGGTCACACCATGAGGGTGAGAACGGAAAGAAGTGAGGGTAGGGCTGAAATCGGTTTGGCTCAGTGGATAGAGCATCGGTCTGCGGACTGAAAGGTCCCAGGTTCGATTCCGGTCAAGGGCATGTACCTTGGTTGCAGGCACATCCCCAGTAGGGGCTGTGCAGGAGGCAGCTGGTCGATGTTTCTCTCTCATCGATGTTTCTGGCTCTCTATCCCTCTCCCTTCCTCTCTGTAAAAAAATCAATAAAATATTAAAAAAAGAAGTGGGGGTAGGAAAACACAGCAGGCAGGCAGCATCCGGGGCTGCTCAGGGTGGAGGAACCCCTGGGGCCCACCTCTCACCCTCGGGACCTCTCTCCCCAAACGGGGAACGGGTGAGGCAGCCCAGCCCCGCTCCGAGAGAAAGCTGGAAGTGTCGGGCTCCTCACAAAGGGAGTGTGCTTGAGGAAGGACAGGCATGTTTACAGCGGGGTCTGGTCCCTGCAGGCCTGCCGCCATGCTTGTGACCTCGGAGGGGCGGCCCTCTTGGCCTCCGTCTCCTTTCTCCAGGCAGGACCCCGTTTCGGGGCCCAAACACCAAGTTACCATGACTTGTCCATTTGAGAATAGCCAACCCCCTCTCCACCACCACCCACCCCCCGTGCGTGCGCACGCGCGCGCGCGCGCACACACACACACACACACACACACACACACACACACACACCCCTCTCCCACCACGTGCACACGCCAAGGCAGAAATAGTCAGGGGAAGTGGTGAGGGCTGTGTTGGGCGCCTGAGGTTCCCAGAGGAAGGAGGCCCCTTTCCTATGGGGAGCCGCTCCTGACCACAGAGGCATGAGCTATCACTCCCCATGAGAGAGGCCCGGCTCAGAGCCCCAACACTTCATGCCCGGCGGGTGCCAACCTGACCGGCATCTCTCCCTAAGGCGGCCCCGCCCCATGTCCCCGTCGGGGCTGGTTTCCCATCCTCCCTCCCATCTTCCTCACAGGCATCCTCTTCCCACCCTATCTCCACCCCTCAGGCCAGGCCCTCATCCTGGCCAGGGCAGGGGGGCCCTCCGTGCACCCTCCTCCCAGGCGAGGCAGCGCTATAAGCCACACAGACAGGCGCACAGAGTTGGTGCTGTCACCCTCACCCACAGACCCTCAGAGGGAGCGCACTGGCTCTCACCGCCTGGCTTTTGCATAGGCTGTGCTGCCCCTTCAGGTGCACAAATGCTCACAACATCCAGAAGAGCCCAGAAAAAACGGGTGCTCAGTCATGACCTACCCACTCCTTCCTTCCCGACTCGGAAGAATACCATCTCCACCGCCTCCTAAGGGCAGGGGAGGCCAGGAGCTTAGGAGTTGAGAATAAGGACTCAGTCAGACCTGGGTTTGAATCCTTAGATTTAGCCTTAC